ACCTTCTATTTTGCCTTAAGCTGTACATTTTTCCCCTTATAAAAAATATTTTTATATGTAAACCATTGTAGTAACCATCAAATTTTCCCCTTATTGCTTAGTTTCTTCAAGGAATAATTATACCTATTATTTTCATCATATCTTTACATAATCATAATCCTTCCCTTTGATACATTCCTTGCAATCATAATTAGTAATCTCATACATAATTCCTTTTTTCCTCTCTAAAATTCTTAATTCTTTTTTATTTTGCTTTTGTTTTTGAAACTGTTTTAGTTCAGGTTACATATTTCAGTTGATTTGTAACTTAGTTCTTCAGTTCCAATTACTTTAACTCCTTCACATAATTTTTCCACCATAGTGACAGTTATCCTTCCAAAATATACTTAATTTGGTTACTTCCAGGCTTAAGATCCTAGACTTATTTCTAAATACCTGCAGAAAAGTCCATTGCAGGGAACCCAGCCAAAGTCTAGCCATGTGGAATTGCTCATTATTTTGTATCATGACATTTACTCTCTTTGTACAGGTAAGTAAATCTGTCAAAACTTATCTTCCTTTTCTGTCTGACAGAAGGATACTTCTTTAACCTTGTAAGCCTAGTTCAGATGTCACCTCTGTGAACCAGACATTCCCAGCTCTCCCTTGTAGATTTAATTACTCCCTTTCTTGGAATGCTCCCATAACAGTGGCACTGACCTCTACCATATCACTTATCACATATTATTTGTAGGTGCCAGTGAGGGGTGGTTAACACTTTTAAGAGTCTGATAAAACCAGTACATGATGGAAGAAATGAATTATCTTCTCATCCTGAACTTAGATATGGATCGTTTCCCATGCCTAATGTAGACAAATTGTAGCCATATCGATATATTTACATATCAAAACATAGAATAATTTTTAGATAGGTTTTTGTCCAAAGAAAGGTTGTATCAGTTGGAAAGTAGATTTGTCACTTGAAAGGCTAGAAAACAGTTTAAATAGCAAAAATTGAACCTATTTATTCAGAACTATGTAGAGGTGAGAATATTTTGCACTCTAGAGCAGTGATTTTCAACCAGTGTGCCATAAGACTCAAAGAAAAAGATGACAGCAGCCAACACAACAGTAGCCATCTGGTGTGAATGAATCAAAATGATACTTCTTTTTTTGTCAGATTGGCAAAAAATGTATTTTATTATTATTATTTTTTTTTTGGTGTGCTGCAAAATTTTAGTAATTACTTTGTGTCCCATGAGATGAAAAACATTGAAAATCACTGCTCTACAGGGCTATCTTGTATATTTCTTCAGACTTCAGCACTGTCTGAATGAAATGCCTCTCTGTGCTGTCTTTTGCTCTAAATCACTCCTCACCCCGCAGTCTGCTACTAATTTGTCTTGCAGTGTATCATTAAGACAGTAATTGAATGGAACACTTAGTGAATTTGAACATTGATCCACTTGGTAGTTTATGTTTTACTGCAAATTAATAAAACTCTTACCTGATTATTGCCATTCTGTCTCATGTGGATTGATTGTACCAGCAAAGCATGTTTTCTGCGTGTTCTGAAAAGTTGAAGATGCAGTCAAGGTCCTGTCCTTGAGAGGCCTATCTGAGGCTTGCTAGTTCATTTCCTTGAGTTTCCTTCAGTCTGCAACTGTTTCGTCAGTGGCTCTAAGATTCTACCAATCACCCAAATTAAAACATCTGGAAATAAACTTTAAGGCATTCCTTAGATTTATTCTACAGTTATTTTTCTTCTTGTTCAGTCATATTCAAAGTTTGATTGGTTTTCTTTTGATGGGCTTTTATCTTTGTTATTTCCTTCCTGGTTTCAACCCCTTCTACCTTAGTCTTAGAGGTATTCCCTTCAACTGATTAATATATTGCTCTGAGTTTCCTTATATGTTACTTGCATTATTTCATCCTCCTATCCCTACTACCTGTGTAAAAGTCTTCAAGGTGATCTTGTTAAACACATCAGCTAAATGCATCCTCTTGGTTTTAAAGACTCAACAATCTAAAATTTTTTCGTCTTATTTCTTGTTAATTCCTTTGCCATTATACTAAAGTCTGAGCTAGGCTTTTTGCTTTCCCATGATTACTTTTTGTTCACATTTGACCCTTTTACTCTTCCATCTATTTGATTTCAGTTTCTACCTTACATTTCATCTAGAGTTGCATATTCAAATTTTTGAATTTCTGTAACTCTTTGTTCATATGAAATTGGGTTGCTATATTGTCTTAATATATGTATTTGTTATTACCTAATCTCGTATTATCATATTCTGTTAAGACAGATTCTTTTGTAGTGATGCCATTCATTCATTCATTCTTTTCATCAAATATGAAGTGCCCTGTACTATGTGCTTTGACCTATTCTATGTCATTGTGCTAAGTAGGAGACTTGACTTGGGGTGGTGAATACACAATACAGTATACAGTTGATATATTATACAATTGTACACCTGAAACCTATATGATTTTATTAACCAGTGCCACCCAAAATAATTCAATGAAAAATAAATAGTCCATTATACTATTTAAGAAATAAATGTTATTTCCTCAGAATTAAAAAAAAAAAAAATGGGATAGTATATTCTAGTGATAGAAAATGCTAAAGAAAAAAATGTGACAATGTACCCTTTGATGTTTGGTGAATATAAAAGTGGTCTGAGCCTTAACCCAGTTGGTAGAATTTTAGGCATTACAATATCCACATTAAAATCATACTTGAGGTAGGTTTCAAAGACATTTTAAACACAGTACTGTTTAAAAACGAGCCATTTTCACTTTTTTTTTGACAACTGTTTGTACATATTTGTTCTTTTTTTTTTTTAATTGGGCATTTGGTTTTTGCTAATTTATGAGAACTCTATATAATATCTAATAAGTAAAATATTCATTTGTGATGTGAGTTACAAATGCTTTTTCCCAGTTAATCTTTCACATTGTGGATAGAGTCTCTGTAGAACTTTATTTTTTAATTAATAAGCTTCATTTTTAAGAGCAATTTTAGGTTCATGGCAAAATGAATAGGAAAATACAGGGAGTTCTTTTATGTTCTTGTCCTTAAATGAGCAAAACCTACCCCACTGTAGACATCCTACACCACAGTAGTACATTTATTACAATGATGAACAACGGTTCCAACAATTTGTTACAATCAATGAAATTTGATTTATCAACTTATTTCTTAGACTGATATTTTTAAAAGACCTTTTTCTTGATATTAAAAATAAATGTTTTCCTATAGTAGTGATAGCCATGACAATGACACCAAATAATAGTAACTTCTTACTCTATACCAGGCACAGTTTCTAACCATAGTTTGATTAGATAAGTTGAATTATTAGCTTCATTTTATAGAAGAGGAAATAGTAGTACAAAATGTTTAAATTACTTGTTCAAAGTCAAACAACTAATATATGAATTCTCTGCCAAGTAGTTTGGGTCCAGAATTCATGCTCTCAAACCAATATGCTATATTGCTTCTTTATAAACATTTTATATTTTTTATGTACTTGTTTGGTAAATTAGGTTTGAGGTAGAATGCAACCTTATTTTTGGACTGCTAGGATAGAGGAGCCACCAAAGAGGAGTATAAAGAATTGATCATCAAGGTGGGAGTAAAGCAATGGATGTAGTAGACTGCTGAGATTTAAGATGAAATATAATTTGGCATGATGAAGTGATTTTGATGGTGTTTCAGTGGAACAGTAATAAGATACTAACTGAGCAGGTATGAGAATGTAGAAGTGGTGAGAATAAGTCTTTTGAGAAGTGACTGAATATAAGGAGAAAGGAGGGCTGTAGAATAAGGGAAAGTTATTGTTATTTTTTAGAAAGATAAAAGACTTAGAGTTGTTGCAGTGCTAATAATAGCAAGGATTTAAATAGAGAAAAGATTAAAGAAGATACAGGAAGGAAGCTATTCAGTGGTTGAGCATTCTGAAAATCAAAGAGAGGATGGGCTCTGAAGCACAGATGTAGGAATTTGCTTTGTGTAGAAATGCTCTCTAGTTGATGTGGGAAAAGTTTAGTGTAGGTACAAGGGATTGTGAGCTTAATGACAAGTAAGGGTTCACATTTGAAGCTGTGACTTTTCTCTGAAATACCTGTCTTCTACTGAGTGGAGAGTTCTAAGTTTAAGGGAGGTTGGAGGTGTGAAGAGAAGAGGTTTGAATTTTAGCTATCAGAGGGAACAAGAGAGGGATTGATGAGAACAAAAACTAAGGGGATTTTGGACATTGCTGGAGGCCCATCCACTACAAATTGGTGATGAGAACATGAATTAAAATTTTTTTTCTAGTGACTTTCAGGCCAGTCCTACAGTATCACACTTAATATGATTAATATTCTTTAACCATTCACTACCACCCTAGAATTAAAAAACAGACATACTATGCCCAGCCAGTGTGGCTCAGTGGTTGAACATCGACCCATGCACCAAGAGGTCGCTGGAGCAGATTCCTGGTCAGGGCACATGCTCAGGTTGTAGACCCAATCCCCAGTGGGGGACATGCAGGAGGCTGCCAGTCAGTGTTCTGTTATTGATGTTTCTATCTATCTATCCTTGCCTCTTTTTAACATTAATAAAGGAAAAAAATAGGTTTACTGCTTTTAAAGCTTGCCAAGCTAGTATTTTATGTGTACTGAACATAGTAAATTTGGAAAAAGATAAAACAATTACTAATTTTTACTTCATTTTGATTCTCTTACATAATTGAGAACATTTTTGGGGAAGATTTTAAAAGTGTATGCTAAGTCATTTAACTTCTGTTCACATGGATGTGGCTTTTGGGTAACTTGTAGAGGATTATAAAATGAGATCACATATTTTAACTTTAAACATGTGGGTCTTGAATGCCTAAATGCCAGAATAATATATATTTTGATAGCAGCTCCTCTTCCTTAAAGTATCATTTTCGAAATGGATAGAAAGTTTTCCAGCAGTGTCCTAAAATATAAATTCATTTATTGTTAAATTTATTTGTTTTTTTACACAGGGTGTAATAGGTATACAGCTGGTCGTTACCATGGTGATGGCCAGTGTTATGCAGAAGATTATACCTCACTATTCTCTTGCTCGATGGCTACTCTGTAATGGCAGGTAAGTCAAGTATAGGTGGTTGTGACAGGCACTTTGAAATCTCTAATTTACCAGGCTGATTAACTTCTTAGATAGTTAAATGCTAATTCCTGTTTTCTAAAACCGCGATAAAGGAAAGTTATGAGAAAAATCTAACTCCCTTATTTTATTTTTTTTGAAATATTAGTAATTTATCTGTTTAACACAAAGGTAAATAGGGTCATGGTCAAGCGTTCAATGTCCGATCCCCCTGTCCCCTTTGCTCTCTGACCACTGAAAATACCACATAATTTTTTTGTTATCTTTTTAAAAAGTTGGTCAATAAACGGACAAAACTATAAATTGAAGTGCTTAAATGACTCACATGACCTATTATTAGTGACTCAGTTGAGAGTTTACTATGAGGTCTGGGTTCTTTTACCGCAGAGAATTTTTAACTTTAACAAGGAAGGCGTGAAGTTATTTTGTAGTATTTTAATTTAGTCTACTGCACTATAAGCTTACTACAATCTCCACTCCTTTACAAAGGAGCAAAGTTGCTGTGCTGAAATTTGTACAGTAAAACAATAAAATCAAAAGTAAAGAAGTATAGGAGATGTAATGAGGCAAAAGCAGGAAACTCTCTGCACAGCAATACATGCCAAAGTCCTGTGTAATTATGAAAGGTAAGTCATAGATTTGGTACCCTGACTATAGTTTTACTTCACTTACTTAGCTCCAATAAATAACCAAGTTCTATTACTGATTTGTATGTCTATATTCTTTTGTTTGGACCATCTTAAGTTAGAAAATGATGAATGGCTTTTCTAATGATTTCAAATACTTCAAGATAGATAATAAGTGTTTAATTCAGGACCATTTTATCCACAAAGCTTAAATTTCTTCCATAGAGTTTATTTTCTAGTTTATTTATATTCTTTCTCTGTATGCTTATACTTTTTCCTTTATCAGTGTTTAAATATAGAACAATATTTAGAAAGTTTAAAATTTTTTTGAACACTGATATATGTGTATGTAAAGTATGAGATCAGCTATTTGAAAATATATTTTATTAGCAAAATAAATAACTAATGTTTTGGTAAAGTTGAAAGCATCTATCAGAGCTATTTATGAGTGAAAAATCAATCATCTATAACTAGATTACTAGTTATGCTTTGTGTAATCTTGTTTAATTTTTTGCTTCGCAAAAACCCTTTGCCATAGATCATGAAAGAATAAACATCAGTTGAGCAAATTATTCTAAATAAATGGAATCTGAATTAATAAACTAGATAAAATACATTAAGGTAGTTTATTTTCTACTGAGAATTGTACCTTTCTGGATTCTGTTTATGATGAGTCTCCAGTGAGACTTCTAGATCTCTTTTGATTGGAAAGATCTTGTTTCATTTAAGTCTATAGGTAATTTCCATGTTTTTATATAACTTGCTTTTTTCCGTTTGTTTCTATAAAACATTTACAGGTAAAAACTAAAAGATTAAAAATCTGATTCTCTTCACTTTGTTAATATTAGAATAATGTATTTTAAAATCTTTGCTTTTTGATAAGTATGTGTCATAATATACATACTGTTAATTTGAAAGGGAGCTCAACCTTTACAAATAAACATGAAATTGATTTTTTAAATATTCTTGGTTTGGTTTTGTAAATAGATTAAATTTAGTGTTAATGCTCTTGAATTCCAAATCAGGTTCTAAGGGTACCAATCAGAATTTTGTAGTACTAGTTCCTCTTCTGTAGTTATATTTACTCCCTGTTTTGTTTTGTGCTTTTAAGATCATCTACCTTTTTTAAATGTTAATCCTGAAATTTTTAAGTCATGAAGCCAAATCGCTAAATGTTGTTTCCTAACTCCATGGAATAAGATAATAGATTTTACCTGTGTGGGCTAATTATTGCTTTACCAATCTTTTATGATATGGTATGAAACTTTTAATATTGAGAAAATCTAAAATTCCTTATAACTTGCTTATGTAAACATCTAATGATTAGAAATGACAGTTTGCATTTTAAACCATATGATGCTGCTGAGTTGACAAAAGAAAGATCTAAGGGTATTTATTGTCTATAAAATGCTTAAAGGAATTTAAGGGGAGAGGCTCATGAGGATTTTTAAAATTATGAATAGTATAGGATGGCCTCAGAGTGACTGTATTGAATAGAACTACTCAAGTGATTAAGTGTGTATTAACCTATGTGTGTATTAACCGCATGGGTTAATCATGAGTATGACAGAAGAAACTTCTTTTAGTTTCTGTATATATCATCTTAAATTTATTCCAATAGTATAAGATCTTCAAATAATAGATATTTGTATTTTTCTTTAACATTATGGTTTCTCTTTGTATTCTACAAATTAATTTTTGTCCATATTTTATCTACCTCTTTCTCTTTTGGCATGGAGGGCTTGAAGTGGCACCTGATTCTGTTATGTTGATTTAATGAGTAAGCCTACCATTTTCCTAAAGAAGTAAATCCTTTCAAGGAATAAGCAATTTTTGCTTGTAAATTAGCATCCTGGTGATTTTGAATGTGAAAAAAGTTGACTAGCTTTCTTGCTCTTGTTATGACATTTGTATATTTCCGTTACTGTTGTAGATCTATAGTTTTTTTTAAAAAAAACTGTAGAGTCTTTAGTTTAATTCCATTAGTATTTCCTTTGCAATGTTATAAAACTTCATCCTGATAAAATTTTGATTTCTGCTATCTCATTTGTATCTGTACACTCTGAGCTAGGTAGGAGAGGGGATGTATTTGGGATATGTTTCGACCTTAGAAATCTCAGTGTGTGAATTTAATGAACATTTCTCATTCAGTTTCCTCAGAAAGGAATGAGGGTCAAATGGGGGAATCAGAGAGGGGTTGGGCAGCTCTCCAAGTAGATCCTTCACAGATTGGTGTTTGAAGGATTCAGCTCTCCTTCAAGTGGTGACTTAGGGATTGTAAACTTTTGTCTGGTAGTGCTACTGTTCCTTCTGCTACCTTCGAGAGCCCTCTGTTAGATGCTGTGCCAGTTGGCAAGTTAAGAGAGAGGGAAGGATCTATGGATCTTACTGGAGATTCTAGGAGCCAACCTTAGAAGTAGATGTATCATTTTTGCCCACCTTATATAGGCTAGGGCACTGGGACTAGTTCAGGCTAAAGTACAAAGGAGTCTGGAATATGTCGTTTGTATTTTACCTAGAAAGTAAAAGCAGGATTGATGAGTGTCTAGTCCTTCTCTGTTGTAAGTGATGTTGTCTCCATTTTTACAAATGAGAAAACAAATTTTAACTTTAGTCACGTTCACATACTGAAAAATATAACAGATCTGGGCCTTTTACCCTAGAAGTCTGACGCAGTCTACTATTGATTTGATTTGTGGCTGTTCAACCACTCGAGACCTTGACTTAGAACTGAAAAGAGCTTTTGAATTTGGTGGAGGTGAACTTTTCTACAACCACTGTGACTTCTTTTGGCAGATTCCAGAGTAATTTATTTAAAATTTTCCTTTTTCTACCTGTTTTCCTAGCTGTACTTAGCCTTTTAAAAGATATCCTTCAGGTTATTAGTAGTGTATGTTTTTCTTACTGTATTGTTATGGCTTCTCTGTACTTACATAGTGACCTTTAGTCCTAAACTGAATTAAAAGGCACATTGAAGTAGAGTTTAAGAAAGATCATCTATTCAAATTATACCTCTCACTCACTATTTGAGATTAAATTTATTCTGCATTACTGAATTATAAATAGTTTTATTCCATTCTTCCAGTTTTTTAAATAGGAAAATATTTTTCTTCTAGAAAATATTATTAGTTCTCCTTTTTTTATGCCTGTCAGATTTTGTTGAAGGGGATCCTGCTATAACAAGAACTAAAGTAGTAAGGTCTCTTCTACCCATAAAGTGTGAACATGAACATCTCAACTGTGACCTTGAAAAACTTAACTGTGAAGAAGTCTAGTGCTGTCAGATTGCCGTTTCTTCCTACCTCCCCAAAAGGAAGAAAACTCCTGGGAAGTTGGAGTTTCTGTACTTTTACTGTAAACTGCTTTCCTTAACATAAGGAACACTTGTTTTAACAGTTGCCCAGATAGCCTAAAGATGTTAATTCTTTATCATGTCCAACATACCACTGATTTGTAGCCAAAGTATTCTACTTTCTATTGTAATTAAAGTTCCTTTTTGTTTTGAAGTTTGCTTGGCCCCTCATTTCATGGAGAGGTAAGTGATAGGTTACATTCTTTGTACATTTGAATAGTGGGTTTTGCATGAGGAATAGGGTTTGCTTTTTCTCCTTAATAGCTTCTTTGATGAACCTGCTCTCCATTTTCCTGTTTAGCTCAAACCGTATGCATTTTTCTCTACCCCTTTGCCTTTTAGGCTCTCACTTTGGTCTACTCCTTCCCTTCATATGTCCCTTATTGAAATTTATATAGTTGGATTTATTCTTATTTTTATCTCATCCAAAATTGAGTAAAGAGGGTGTAATAACACCTTCATAATTCAATTGCTCTAATTCTTTTTGCCTGTTCTCTTTTGCATGTTGCCTGATTAACAAATTTGCAAGTTCCCTTTGTTGAGAGAAACCTACTATTCAAATGCACAGTAGGTGGGACTTGTGACCTAAGGGAAAGGTTTAAACCTTCAGCTGCTACCCTATGGAATGCCTGAGTCCTTGCTGTCCTTGCATTAGCTGTCTTAACTTCTAGTTCCAGAATGTCATGATGTTCTATTAAAATTTCCAGTTATAACAGGAGACTATATATGTATAACAGACAATATTTTAGCTGTTTGTACTGAAAAGTTTTCTGAGTTTTAAGTGGTATTTGTTTTCTCTTAGGGTTTTTTTTTCTTTTCATTTGTCAAAATTATGGAGATTTAGAATGGAGACTAAATCTGTCTTTAGTGACCTATGTTGTGTACCCTGAAATACAGTTTTGTATGATTATTTATATATTAAAGCTTTTTAGCTTGCTCTGAGTACTGTTTATCTATTTGTTCATGTTCAGATTTACATTTTAAATTTCTGAAATTTTTACTTCTGAAAATTTCTTAAGTGTTTTGCTTTAAATAACATTGTTGCTTAAAGTTTTTAGAGTCTAAGTCAGTACATTATATTTTCTGATACATATTTTTTTCAGTGCTATTGAACTGTTTAATAAGGGTTATAGTCATATTTTTTATAAGAGTTTTATACAAGAAAATCATTGAAAAGGTATTTTAATAATTTTGTGTACAGTATTAGCTGAGACACTGACCATTTGAATATAAGTGAAAAAAGTCACTGAATAACCAAAACGACTTAGGTCAAATGCTACAGGTTCAGTTTTCTAGTGAGATCTTATTCATACTTTAAAAAAATATATGGAACGCTTCACGAATTTGTGTGTCATCCTTCCACAGGGGCCAGGCTAATCTTCTCTGTATTATTCCAATTTTAGTCTGTGTGCTACTGAAGCAAGCACTTACTTTTTTTTTTTTGTAATTTAATTCCAAAAACAATACATGTCTGTGATATAGAATATGATGGTAAATTGATTAAAAAAAGGAAAAAGAAGAGTTAATGGACTATATTTCTATCAGCCAAAGATAATCACTGTGTAAATTTTGTTATATTTCCTTCTAATCTTTTCTGTTCATATTTTACATTCATGGTACATCATGTTCCTTTGCTTAATATATTAACATAAAGCATTTTTCTCTAATTGTATTTTTGTAACCATTTTTAACTGCTATGTAGAATCTAATAAACTTTTGTATCTGTCTTCCAAGCCCCTATTAGAAAGGTATAGTGCAGCAGTCACAAGCATATTGCAAATCATTTTGCTGAGATAGACATACGAACTAACAGTAATGGAGCGGACTAAAAATTGAGACCTTAAAGTATAGTAGATGGGAACCATATGGTATGGAATCAAACTGTGTATGAAGTACTGACTATTGAAAAAAACATTTATGTAGCTGTACTTCTAGGTTTTAGTTTAAAGTCATGATCTCAGACCTTAGATGGCCACTTAGATCCTGGCCTGGCAGTCTCTGTATGCTCCACTTCATAGACAGCTTTTTCAACCCACATCTTTTCTCCTGAACATGCTTGCCTGCCTCAGCCTCACACTAAGCTCTCGAAACTAGAGCCAGTTTCTCTCATCTTCACACCACCAAACCCATAAACGTAGTTACACATGCAGCCCTGCTTTTCTTTAACGTTTATGTATTTTTATTTTCATCTGTGAAGGAAGAATCTTGTCTGTCAGGGCTAAGTTCCTGCACTTGTGCTCTGTACCCCATTCCTTCTACCCTTCACCCAGACTTTGCTTCTTTGGCCTTTGCTCTGTTCTATGTTGGTTGCTTCATTTCTTTTGGGTTGTTCCTATTAGCACAAATACTTAAAAACAAAAAGATCTCCAATTAAAAGTAACAATGGTGGCAACAACAACAACGACAACAAATGAAGTGCCACAACCCCTCCTTCCTCCCTGAAAAACAGCCCCTCATATCCATTCCTTAGTTTTTGGCCTATTTCTTTGATTTCCTTTGTATACAGATTTGTCCCATGGATTGTCTTCATAAACTCTACTTTCTTCCTTATTAACTGTTTAGCCTTCTACTATGTTTTATTTTTTTGTTAGGTTATCTCATTAATTTCTGTGGATTTAAAAACCACAATTATGTAATGATTTCAAGGTATCTCTTAGTTGTAGGCGCTAATAAATAGTTACCCTTTTGATATTTTCGTGTCTCATAGGTCTTTAAAAATTCAGCATGTTTAAATTCTTGATTTCTTCTGCTTTACTCCATTCCAGAAAATGTACCAATGTACCACCTCTTCCTCAAATTAGAAATGTAGACATCATCCTTCATTCCTTACTTTTTTTTACTCCCTGCCTTTAGCATCAGCAAGATTGTTGATTCGATATCCAAAATATTTCTTTCTGCTATTCTTGCCTGCCCCTAATTCATAGACCAACAAAAGAGATCTTAAAATGTAAATCAAGTCTTTCCTCCTGCCCTGAGACCAATTCTTTCAAAACATACTAAACTCATACCATGATCTTATCTCTTCAACCTCCCTTATGTGTTTCTCCTTGCTCATGGTGCTACTGCTTTTTTGGCCTTTTGGTTACTGTAATGTTCTTTCATGCCTTTGTGCTTTTGGACATTCTCCACCTGGAATGTTCTTCCCTCTATTCTTCTTATACTTTAGCTTGCTGGGTAAATGCCATTTCAGAGAGGTTTTTCTAACCTGATACTTAGTCTTATGTTACTCATTCACATTAGGTTGGTTCTTTTGTGTGGTGTCCAATTTATGATTTTCTGTCATTTTTTATTGGTTAAATTCTGTCCCAACTAGAATATAAGCATCAGAAAAACAGGGACTTAGGCTTTATTGTGTGTGGTTAAATCTCCATTGCCTAGCAGAGTGCTTGACCACAGTGGGTTCCATAAATGTCTGATGAGTGAATGAATAGATGAGTAACAGACTAGAAGTGTTCCTAAGAGCACCCAGCATCCTTAAAATTCAGCTTTGAACAATAATTATTCCTAATGAAGATGACCTGAGTTGTCTAGTAAGAAGTATTATCCATGCAATTCACTTTAGAAAATGTGCTCACAAAATAAAAGTAAACAAGCTTGAGTATATTTAAAAAGAAGATGGGTCCTAGAAAATGTAAGTCTTAAAATATTTTATTATTTTAGGACTCTAAATGTAACCTAAGTTTTCATATACTAAGAGTTAAACAACTAATTTTAGTCTATAAAATGAGTTATGTATTAAGTATTTTTCTAAGTGTTATGTATTCAATTCTCATCATTTGTGGATAATATATTTGTGATTTGCCTACTTGTTAAAATTTATTTGTAAAGTGTATTTGTTAAAGCACCACAAAATCCATAGTTGTGATATTTTCTTAAGGTTTTTATTGATTTTTTTAGGGAGAGGGAGATAGAAACATCCATGTGTCTCTCTCACATTTATCGGCTGCCTCCTGCACTCCCCTTAGTGGGGATCGAGCCTGCAACCCAATCATGTTCCCTGACCTGGAATTAAACCCGGATCTCTCAGTCCATGGGACAACTCTCAGTCCACAGAGCCACACCAGCCGGGCATAGTTGTGATATTTTTGAGGTAGTTCATAGATAAACTTTGTTCAGTCATGAGTTACAGTGCTGTTGACTCTCAGTGTTAATGAATCAACAATATATATTTAATAAGGTATCTTTAAACATAAACACACATGAAACAAGATTATTATTGATTGGTTGATGAAATGTTATGACCAGAGGCTCTCAGGAACCTTACCCTGTGTTTCTCCCAGAAGCAATAGTTCAGTGTTGGGGGCGACTTCATAGAACATAACTACTGCAAATAATGAGAATCGACTTTAAGTTAAAATTCTGGACTTCAGCAGAAATTTCAGGAAGTGCCTCCTCATGCATGTTACTTATAGTTTAGGGATTTTTTGGTTAGAGTATATATTTTATTTAAAAATCTTTAAACTGAGAGGAGAACTGAATTCATTTGGGTTCAGTGATCCTTTTTTTGGACACTTACTATCTGCCAGTAACTGTACTAGTTTGGAAATATATAAAAACAAAACATATAAATATAAATATATATATAAATATATATATATATATATATATATATACACACACACACACACACATACAGAAAATCTTCGCTCCAAGAATTTTTTAATTAGTGGAATATTCTGTTTTAATCCAACTGCTCTGATATTAACTGAAATTAAACGTTGACGCCAACTACCTGGAGTTAGATCCCACAGATTAAAGACAGAGTATTCTGTAACAATGCCCAGGCTTGAGATGTCAGCTGCAAGTTCTTGGGATACCCAGGATACCCATACTTCTGACAACCAGCTAATGGCTACAAATTAGTGCATTTTCACAACCCCCTCAGATTAAGTAATTGCTAAAATGACTAGAGTTTAGTAAAGTGTTATACTTAAGCTTACATTTTGTTATAAGATTGCAGATAGGATGAGATTTGGGAAGGAGCCAGAGTATGTCACCCTCCAGGCACATCAGTGTGTTGACCCACCAGGAAGCTCCTCTGAGCTTTGGTATCTAGAGATTTTGTGGCAGTTCATTGCAGAGGTATGATTGATCACATAGGTATCCTTGACCACATAATTGAACTTAATCTCTAGCTCCCTTTCCTTCCTACTGTGACCGTTTCTGGTTGCCAGCCTCCAACCTGAAGCTGTCTGTAGTCATACCAAGGGTCCCCTCATTAGTATAACTGAGACACTCCCTGTTACTCTGGAAATTACTCAGGAAGTTGTGTGCCAAGAACTGGGGACAATGATCAAATATATTCTTATTATATCACAGGGAGACTGACTTATAAACAGTAAAAGGTAAATGTGGAGTTTGCCAGATAGGGGCATAGGTTTTTACAAGCAGAGAGGAGAATATATGCCAAAACACCAAGGAGTGAAACAGTTTGTGAAATAAAATTAGTCTAGGTAAGACTGTCATGTTCAAAGGGGAAATTTTTGGAGGTAAGTCTGGTGAAGTAGACATAGTGAAATGGGGAAATGCTGTGGAAACAGGAGGTTACAAACCTTATGCACATTTTGCCTTAAAATATATGTTTTAATTTTAATGGAACATTTCAAACATACAAAGATTAGACAGAATAATATAATGAATATATAATGAAAAGCATGAGCTCCTGTGTACTCATAATTAGTAGCTGGTTGTCAGTTTGTTTCATCTATGTACCCCTTCATCTCTGTCCCCGCCCCCCCAAACTTACTACCTGTAGCAAATATTCTTTCATTCATAGATATTTCCATGTATATCTAAAATATATGAGCTTTTAAAAATTGCTATGATCACATTATTACGGCTAAAAAATTTCTTAGCATCAAATTTCCAGTCATTATTCAAATTGTCAGTTCTACAGTGTTTTTAAAAACAGCAAATCAGTTGCTAATCTTATTTTAAAAATTGACATATTTCACTTTAAAAATTTAGATTTTTGTGTAATTGAAAAATTGCAAAGTCTAGTAGTACTAAGTGTATATTTCTCCTTTATGACAATAGGACCTTGGTCATGGTCCTTGTCTAGCTGCCTTTTTCACTGCTTTACCTGTGAGGAGTCTTGGAAAGGATTTAAAAAGGCATATTTCTTGATAAGAATTGCATTATAGAAAAATAACTAAAGGTGGGATCAGAATGTACTTAGGAGAGTGCCAGAAGGAAGGCAGGGAGACCAGTTAGAGAGTTTTACCTCAGAGAGAGCTAAAGAAGAAGATAGCCCGAATGAAGGTCTGAACTAAGGTTCTTGCAGGGAAGCAAGTTCAGAATTTTAAGGACTAGAGAACAGGATTAATGATAACATGGAGAGGGCACATTGCAGATAAAACCTGAATCTCAAATGTAAGTGGCTGGCTGATAGGAAGTTTAGGTGAGACAGGACATTGAGACTAAGCATTGGGTATTTGGGAGATTTCACTGGGTAGTGGAGATGAATACACCCAGTTGTTAAATAGAGCCCTAACTGAAGAGGGTTACATATAGCTAAGAGGAAAAGGGAGGGTTTTGTTTGTTTGTTTTTTGAAGGAGAATTTCTGTTACTTCTATGTACAGAAAACTAAACAGTGTACACTTAGCCTAGCTTGGTGATCAGTTCTTTAACCTTGGTTTTTTCCAGCTCAGCAATGCAAGCTACCAACTTTGGACTCAATGTGGCCTCTCCAGTGGCGGTGGATCTCATCGTATCTGTCGTATTTGGTCTGGATAGCTTCTACCATCTTAGCCAGAGCTCCTTTGTCTTCCAAGTCAATTTATGTGTAGGGAATGGTGGTGCAGGTCTTCCTGTGGACTAGATGCCCTAGCCTGGCCTTCTCCTTGATAACATAGTAGGGAACCCCCATCTTACGGCATAAGGCAGGCAGGAAGACAGTCAGTTTGATGGGATCCACAATGTATGCGATCACTACCAGCTGGGCCTTCTGTTCTCCACCAGGGTGGTGACAGTGTTAACCCCTGCTTGAAGGACAGGTGGCTTCTTGGTGGGGACCATACCCTTTGCTTTTTTCTCAGCCCAGGCCAACAGTCTCTGCTGCTTCTCTTGCTTTGTCTCTGGTCTGTAATTGTGGGCCAACTTAAGCAGTTGAGTAGCTGTTTGGCAGTGCATAGTCCACGGCCTGGGTGAATTGATTAATGGCAGGAGACACTTTTCAGATGCATAGAGAGAACAGCTCTTTGCCTCTAGCTGCAGCTGAATGTAGCAGAGCCATTTGACAAAGCAGGTGAGATCCGTTTTGGGCTGGATGTCCTGTCCAGTGACAACATTCTTGGGTCTTTTCTCAAACGGGATTTATCACCTTCTTGGCCTCCTGCTTCTTCACAACAGCAGGGGCTGGGACCACCTTCTTCCCCTTAGCCTTCTTTCCTTTCTGATCTTGTGCTGTGGGAGGAGAGAAAAAGTGTAGAGAGTTTTTTAAGTAACTATTTACTCCAATTCTTATATAATTAAATTTCATGATTCTCCAACTAAATTAAAGGAAGGAAAGTAAGGAAAGCAAAGCAAAGACTACTTGTATTTTGGGGGTGGCATTCAGAAGCCTCTTTTTTAGAGACTGTCAGTGCCTTTTGTGTAAATGAAGGGAGGGGTGATGAATGTTAATGTGTTGCTGTTAGCTTGCCTGCATTTTATTCCATTTACTTTTAATAGTAAGCCTGTATCATCGTAATATATGTTAAAAACATTAATTGTAAGAAATATGCCAACAAAGAGCATTCCTGTGTCTGGCATCTATCTAATAAGTCCTTTGTGTTTGCTGGATTTGAATCTAAATAAATCCTTTTAAGGTTAAGCAGTAGTATCTGTTTCAGATTAGTTTTCACCTGATTTTTGCTAGCAGTTTCCACAGATAGGAAACAATAAATACTTATAGAATAAATGAATAATTCTGGTGATTTTAATTGCTTTATTTAAAAAGATTCCTCTTTTCTCAGTTTACGATGGTATCAACATCCTACGGAAGAAGAATTAAGAATACTTGCAGGGAAGCAGCAAAAAGGGAAAAGCAAAAAAGATAGGTAAGTTACATTGTTGAGTTTGTAAAGTGTTAAATATTTGACACAATTTATGTACTTTTTTGTACTTTGGTTAAAGGAACGTTTACAGTTATACCATAAACAGTTGATAAATTTAAGCTTAAAAGCCATGATCTAAAATAATATTAAATCATCTTCTAAGAAAACCCCAGGTATAGTAATCTAATATAATCACAAAAGTGATTATTTTGTTTAAGAATAGTCAACTCTGTTCTTCTTTGTGTTTCAGTAATGAACACAAATAGCCATCATATTAAAATTCAGTACAGGGGTTTGATGGGGGAGACCTATAATCCATGTCTGAACCCTACAAGTCATTTAAAGATATCAGTTGGTTTGGGTTCTTTACCACGTTTTGCTACCACTCATTATTATGATATTGGGAAAATTCATATGCTTTTAAGCTCTGTTTCCTAAATAAAAGGGGTGGATAGTATAACTTCTTAGGTCCAATTCAGTTGCCTAATATTATTTTGATATTTAAAGTTTATGAAGAAACTTTATGAACCTCACAGCAGCCTCATCTGTGAAATGGAAGGAAGGCCCAAACTGATTTTGAAGGATCCTTTTAGCTTAAAATTTGTATATCTCTATTTAAATTGAAGTCTCAAAAAAAAAGCGCTTGTTAATTACCTTTCTAAATGGACCTTAGTTTTAGATTCCTCAGTTGGGAATGGGGAGGACTTCTTAGGACTGAAACTGTTTTTCTAATATATTATAAAATGTTCGTGAGAACAAACTGTCACCAAATTTTTAAAAATTCTTTAAACATTAAAGATTCTGCATGTAATTGGAAATTTGAAAAAATTGTCTTTTCTGATCTCACTACCTTTCTCTCTCTCACTTATAATTACAAATAAACCTTGAGGCTCATTAGAAGATTAACTGTAAACCCTCCTCTAAATTCCAATATATATATATATATATATATATATATATATATATATATATTTTAATATTATAATTTAAAGCACTTTAAAACAATTTCACTTAATCTACACATCCCTGAATATTAGCTATTATTTTAATTTATATTTTACTAATCTGGATTAAAATCCTAGTCAGGATTTTAATCCAGGTTAGTTTTAAGTTTCTACATTTCTTTTTAACTGTTTCACCTCTGCCTATTCATTGCTAACATGTCCAGCATTTGTAACATTTAGTTATGTAATATAGTATTTATTTTACAAACATTTAATTCTTATTGTATGCCTTGTAGTCAGAATTTTGTTATTTTAACAGTAATTTTTATATGTTGAAAATAGTTTACATTTACAAAACGATGCACTAAATAAGAGTCTTGTTCTTAGTAGCAATAATAATTATTTGATTTATGAAGTCATATTTTCACTGAGATTTTCCCAGTTTATATTTTTAAAGAATAAATTCAAAATTGTTTCTTGGTATTATAATTAATGTTATTGAAACTTAGTTTATTACATTCAATATGTGATTGTCTTTAAAAATTAAATTTAGGCCCTGGCTGGTTTGTCCCAGCGTTTAGAGCATTGGCCCAAGGACCAGAGTCATGGGTTCGATTCCAGTCAAGGACACCAACCTCAGTTGCAGTTAGGTCTTCAGCCCTGGTTGGGGTCATGCAGGAGGCAACCAATCAATATCTCTCTGTTTCTCTCCCTCCCACTCTATCTGAAGCTAAATGGAAAAATATCCTAGTTTGAAGATTTAAAATAGAAAAAAAATTAAATCTAGAAATGACACATGTACGTGCACCTGAAGAATTTTGTGGTTTCCTCCATTCGTGATTCTTAGTAAAAGCAACTCTGAGTAGGCCTTCCATGTTTCTTACTTTCTTGTGCACATAAATCTTAACATATTTCTTTAACTCTGACTTGTTTATAGCTACAGATCTGTTTATATGTATGTATGTGTGTACATATATATTTCAAAGAGAAATGCATTTTGTCTTAATTTACTTTTACTCTTGTCCCTAAAGAAAGTGATATTAGGTTGTCTTTTAAATCTCCAGAAGAGGTAGGAGAAATGGGTTGAGATGCTAAACTAACAATATTTTATTCCTGTCACTAATGTGTCTTTTCCTGGTAATCTGTATATTCACATAAAATTTACATCCACATTTTGTAGTCCCCCTTTTAAAAACTTCTTTTGAATACCTGACCTTTTTGATGAAATATTAGAAATTCTGTTTCTCTTTCACTGTGAAATTTAAAGCCTTGTTTATAATTAGTTTGATGAAAGCACTTGGATAACAGTGTAGATAACTTGTTTTTTGTGTCACTTGTCTGATTTTTATAGGAAATATAATGGTCACATTGAAAGTAAACCACTAACCATTCCAAAGGACATTGACCTCCATCTAGAAACAAAGTCAGTTACAGAAGTGGATACTTTTGGTAAGGGAAATCTTGGGTAAAGTGTTCTATAAATCTCAGTTTTATATTACCCATAGCGGTTCTCAACCTGTGGGTCGCGATCCCTTTGGGGGTCAAACGAGCCTTTCACAGGGGTCGCCTAAGACCATTGGAAAACAAAATTACAGTTATGAAGTAGCAATGAAAATAATTTTATGGTTGAGGGTCACTACAACATTAGGAACTGTATTAAAGGGTGGCGGCATTAGGAAGGTTGAGAACCACTGCTAAAAGGTACTTTGATTTGATCTGTTGTGGCTAGACTTTTTGTTTGCTTTTGTAATCATTAAGTTCATTATTCAGAATATGAAATCTTTCTCAGAGCTTAGAAGCTCAGAACAACATTTGAATTGAATTTCTTTTTCTGTTCACCTGACTTATAGTAAGCACTATTTTTCCCATTTTTCAGCAGAGGCAGACTTACACAAGTTTGTTACAATTTCTGTTTATATGAGATCAGTCAGTTTTCATTATTTCGAATTCTAGACTTTTTGCCATCTATCCCAGTCTGTTTCTTTTATAATGTGGCTTACAGAAATGCATTTGTACATTTGTATTGAATTACCTATATTTACAATAATTCAACTTTATGCTCACATTTAGTAGAAAAGAAAGTGATTTTAGAATAATAAACTGGATTAGGAATAAGAACAATTCACTTCTTCAAGATTTACTTTTACCCATTGGGTATCTCTGAATAAGTCATTCAGTTTTTTCCCCCTGTGAGTTAGTATTTATAATTATATAATAACTATTGTGATTTTAAATTTAAAATGAAATTATTTCAGTCCTAGAAGAGAAAGACATCTAATGTGATGTTATTTAAAACACTGGTTTTCAGACCTCAGAATCACTTCAGCTGCTCTTTAAAAATAAAGAATTCTCATGCCTACTGTTGGAGATTGAGTAAATATTAAGTGAGTTCTGGAAATTTTTATTTTTTTAAATATTAAAAGTGGGTTTGAGTTTTGAGCAGGTTTGAGAACTAATGGTTTATATTATGTGAGGAGTTAAAATAACATGTTTTTTTAAAAAATAATTTTGGTAGTGTATAAAGTATCATTTTGCAAAATTGGCCCTTCTTGTGTTAAATCTTACCACCCCAGAAAAACCTTCCGATTCATGTAGCATCTATGTAATTTAAAATTATTTTGTGACTTAAAGGCTTTAATATATTTGAAAGTTGACTCTACTTCTACAAAGATTTTATGTCTGTTTGTGGAAAGGATATCATAGAACGCAAAAATGTCAATGAGAAACAATTTATATCAATTTTCTAATAGCATTAAGACTGTTAAGACTGGTTATGTCATCCTTTTTCCTTTTAAACTATTTTTCATGCAAAACTTAAAACATTTAAAAGCACTTGGACTTTTTTATTGTCACATTTGTTTTACTAATATCCTTTATGTGTGCTTACTTATATAAAATGTTCACAGGCATGTATAAATGCAAGAATATATATACATTACCTCTGATTTCTAGTACAGATTTTTGTCACTTTTACTAATAATGTTTATTGAATAACTATCAGCTAATTAGCTTTAATAATAGCTTAAAATTTCATATTTATCAGCCATTGTTATGAGTGCCTTACTTATATTAACTCATCCTCACAATTCTATGAGCTTTTTTTTTTTTTTTAAATAAAAAAACCCACTCATTCGGAATGTGGTAGAGACAGTGAGAGCTAGGCTATTAATGAACTTAAAATTGAAAGTAGGGTAATGTGGCTTCAGCACACAGCTTGATGAGTGTTTTGTTTCACTTGTACAATTTTGAGAACTAATTGCAAATAGTATTACTTTAACACCTGGCAACAAAATATCAAGATCATTTCACTTTGTCAGAATAACAGGGAAATGTTTTATTTATGTTTGTATTAATGTATGTGTGTTTGGGTAAAAGTAGAGAGTTTTCTGCCTGAACTTTAGGTACTCTCAGGAGCTTATGGAAATTACTAGACTTGATAAACTTAAATTTTCTTTTGATTCCAGTAGCCTATGAAAAGGGCAGGTATATAATTATATTATTGACTACAAAAAAGAAGAATCTAGTACTTGGATTAAATATGCAGCAAAGAATGTGTATAATTTGTATACTTTTGCTGAATCTATGTATCAATAAGTTCCTTTTAAAGAATATAAAAACATTTAAATGTCACTTGGCTGTTTGCTATTAAGTTCCCTGGAAGTAACCTGTGTAAGTGTGGGCAGATGTGAAGAATTAGAATTGAACATCTTTAGATACCCAGATAACCTGTCTATCTGTTTCATCCATTTATTCAAAAGGCTTAACTGGGTGATTTTAGAGGGGGAGAGAAGGTAGGATTCCTGCAACCACTTTAGGGTAAATTTTTCATACTGATGTTCAGAAGTTGAACATCACCCACCCCCCAAAAAAACCCTAAAAAATTAAAATAACTTGAAGCAAATAAAAAATTTACTCTATCTTAAGAAGGATTTGGAATTTTTGCTATCACCTCACAGAAATGATATGTTTGGTTAATTTGTTTTTGATATTTTAAGTAAGTCTTACTTTCAATGGTATTTTAAAATACTTTTTCTATAAAAGTGTGCTTTTAAAATAACTTCAGGTATTACATTTTACAACTGAAATTTTTCCAAAGCAGTGGAGGTGGTTTTATTATGTGCCAGTGAGAACATACAAATTAATGTTTATGAACATGATTTATTTTCACATATTTAGGAGGCCTTCTATAAAATGATGTTGATATTTGGACACTCTGGCAGAAGTAAACCAGAATATCTGAAATGAAAAGAGAAATGGAATTATATTTACTTTTACAGAATGCTAATTTTAATGTAAACCCTCATGAATGGAATCGTTTTTTTTTTTTTTTTTTTTTTTTTTTTATCCTCACCCGAGGACATTTTTCCATTTCTTGTACAGATAGAGTGGGAGGGAGAGAGAGGAAGGGAGAGACAGACAGAAACATCGACGTGAACGGACACATCGAGTGGCTGCCACCCGCACGACCAACCAGGGCCGGGGACAGACTGCAACCGAAGTACGTGCCCTTAGCGGGAACCGAGCCCGGGTCTCTCCAGACCGCAGACCGATGCTCTAACCGCGGAGCCAAACTGGCCAGGGCTGGAATCGTTTTTTTAAAGGGTGTGGTTTTATGGAAAACTGATAGGCAGTTATTTCATCACCATCTCTTGTAAGAACAGATAATTGATTAAAAAGTAGATTTACTTAATTATTTTAACCTGCAGTACTCAAAATTACCAACTCTCCATGAGTGTAACAAATAATGAATATAAGTAAAGCTGTGGTAGTCTACATTAGGCTACAGCAGGCACACTGGTATGTTGCAAGAATTTTTAAAACATGCCATACCTGACTACGTGGTCAGGGGCACCGAGCTCTTTTCCCTTAGATTGTCAAATTAAAAAAAATGACAACAGCCAACACAACAATAACTGTCCAGTGTGATTGAATCAAAATTATACCTTTTTCTTTTTTGTCAGATTGGCAAAAAATAAATTTTTTGCACAGAATTGTAATTAGTGTACTATGAGAGGAAAAAGGTTGAAAATCGCTATTTTAAAGTATAGATCAAATTCTTTTTTTGTGAATATATTTTTATTGATTTTTTTAGAGAGAGAGGAAGGGAGAGAGATAGAAATATCTATGTTAGAAAGAAACATCCATTGGCTGCCCCCTACATGCCCCCTACTGGGGACAGGCCACACCCCAGGCATGCACCCCAACCCGGAATTGAACTGGGACCTCTCAGTCAATGGGACAACGCTCTATCCACTGAGCCACACCATCTGGGCTAGATCAGATTCTTCAAAAAAACAAAATCTTGACTTATACTTTCTGTAAAATATAGCTAATCAGATAAGAAAATATCAGTTTATTTTGCAATCATATATTTTTAACAACAATTTAAATATTTTTGGGTAATCATTTCAGATTTATTTTAATTATTTATGTGGTATTAAAATTTAGTTTTTGGATGCCAATATTCTTGATCTGTTTCCTGTATTTTTAAATTCTCATATTTGTAATCTTTACATTGTAAATCTTTACATTGTAAATAAAGCCTAGCATGTTTATAGTTAATTATAGATAAACCCTTCTAAACTTATTTTTTTTTTTTAACTTTTATTTTTCAGCATTGCATTACTTTCCAGAATACCAGTGGCTGGTGGATTTCACAGTGGCTGCTACAGTTGTGTATCTAGTAACTGAAATCTACTACAATTGTATGAAGCCCACACAGGAAATGAATATTAGCTTAGTCTGGTGCCTGCTTGTTTTGTCTTTTGCAATGTATCCTTTAAAATGTCATTAATAAGAATTTAAGAATTTGTTTTCCTTTTGCAGCTAACATAATTAGATCTCATTTCTTATTTGAAAAGATTTTAGATCATTAGAGAATTTTTTTCTTTGTTGAAATTTAATTGGAAAAATTTTCAAAGTAGAGGTAAATAGTTTAAAAACTGAAATATAAGGTAAGATGCCAGTGCCTGTCTTTCCTTTCTTGAATCTCAGATCTAGCCACTTTTACTTTTTTTAGTATTTCTTCCATGTTTAAATGTTATGTGATAATGGTGGTATTTCTTTAATTTTAGATATTATTGCACCTTTCTCCTTTTTTCTTTTATTTCAAGAAAGTAAGGAGACTCCTTTTTTAAAAATTAAATCAGTAGTCAGTTTTAGTTACTCTATAAAAATATTTATAGCTAAGCATTATAATGTCCTATTATCTTCCTTGAATAATTTTTTATTCTAGTTATGTAAAAGCTAAACTCTTCTACAGATTTTTAAACCTTAGTAGTTTAGATACATCATTTGTGTTTGTTTTTCCATGGAAATACCATCTTAGAGGAGTTATTTAAATATTGGGGTCCTCAGTTCTCTAAACTTCCTACATACCTGCTGATCCTGGAATTTTCTTCATTGTCTTCCTAAGAATTCCCTGTGCCTCTTTTTGGATCAAATCATTGCCTTTTATTTGATTTACTCTCCTTTTGGCAAAGTGTATTTTTTTTTTTTAAATCTTGCATGCCTGAAATTACCCTTATTCCCCCCACCCTTCATAGTGAGTTGGTAGTTTGGATCAGCACAAACTATAAGAAAGAAATAGTTTTTCCTGATAATTTTTTTGTTCTTATTGTTAATCTTCACCCGAGGATATTTTTTCATTGATTTTTTTAGGTAGAGTGGAAGGGAGAGGAGAGAGAGAGAGAGAGAGAGAGACATCATGTGAGAGAGAAACATCCGATTGGTTGCCTCCTGCACAACCCTAACCAGGGCTGGGGACCAAATCTGCAACCCAGGTATGTGCTCTTGACTAGGAATCGAACCCAAGACCCTTTGGTCTGTGGGCCAACACTAACCGGAGAACCAAACTGGCTAGGGCTTCCTCAGTTTCAAAGATAAGAGATTGGCCTCCGTCTTGCGGTTGGCATAGGTTGCCTTCTTCCCCAGCCTTATACCCTCCAGAACCTTTTTCTCTGTCCTTTTGGTGTTCTGAAGTTTCATCATTAATTTGCTAAGTTTTAAGTTTAGCTCTTATTTTATTTTTTTATTAATTTATTTTTGTTACAGACGATTCTCCTTTTTTCCCCCAGACACCCTCCTCCCCATCCTCCCCACCCCATCCCGGCTTTGTTGTCCGTGTCCATCGGTTATGCGTACATGCATATAAGTTCTGTGGTTTATCTCTTCCTTCCCCCCACCACTCCCTCTTCTGACGGTTGTCAGTCTGTACCCTACTTCCACGTCTCTGGGTCTACCCAGTTCCTCAGACTGTTATGTTCATTATATTCCACAAATAAGTGAGATCATGGGATATTTGTTTTTTTCTGCTTGGCTTGTTCCACTGAGGATAATACTTTCCAGGTCCCTCCATGTCATCTCAAAGGTTAAGAGATCTTTCTTTCTTACAGCTGCATAGTACTCCATTGTGTATATGTACTAAAACTTTTTTTTTTTTTTTTTAATTCTCACCCGAGGACATTTTTCCATTTTTTGTTCAGGTAGAGTGGGAGGGAGAGAGAGGAACAGAGAGAGAGAGAGAGAAACATCGATGTGAAGGAACACATCGAGTGGCTGCCACCCGCACAACCGACAAGGGCCGGGGACAAACTGCAACCGAGGTACGCGCCCTTAGCGGGAACCGAACCAGGGTCTCTCAGGACTGCAGGCCGACGCTGTAACCGCTGAACCAAACCGGCCAGGGCTGTACTAAAACTTTTTTATCCATTCGTCTACTGATGGACACTTGGGCTTTAAGTTTAGCTTTTAAATCTGAAAACCCATTTTCTTTACTACTGGGCAGTAATTTTATTTTTATTTTTCTTCTTTTTATTAAAATTATTATCTCCTTCATTTTCACCTTTCCAGAGGCAGCTTCTTCCAGCCCTTTTCTGTTTGATGTTCACATCTGTATTTTCATATGTATACAAGACCACAGCTTGATTTCAGTTTTAGGCTTTATTTTATTTATTTATTTATTTTTTAATCCTCACCCGAGGACATTTTTCCATTTTTTGTTCAGATAGAGTGGGAGGGAGAGAGAGGAAGAGAGAGAGAGAGAGAAACATCGATGTGAAAGGGACACATCGAGTGGTCGCCACCCGCATAACCAACCAGGGCTGGGGACAAACTGCAACCGAGGTACGTGCCCTTAGCGGGAACTGAACCCGGCTCTCTCCAGACTGCAGGCCGATGCTCTAACCGCTGAGCCAAACCGGCCAGGGCCAGTTTTAGGCTTTAAAATGAGGACATTGCACATCTCCCTGGGTTGTCACCTACCACTGATCATTTCTCATTCAGCTCATCTTCCAAGTATAGTAATGTCATTTATAAGAAGAATATTTAGTGTTTATATTATGGTCATGTAGACACTCTGCAGAGATGAATAGTTGTCTTCATTTTTAATTTGCATTGTTTTCTTTGTACATATCATTAATTCAGCCTTAAACTTGCTGGGTGTATAAATCTCTGAATATGTTCAGAACCATCAGGTGGTATGTCAATTTCATGTTCTTGGAGAGAGTTCTTCTGGAGTCCTGGTCTGGATTGGTTAACCTTCCCAACTTCTACACAGCTGTCTCCTAGGAAACATCAGTGACTTCTTAGGTATTCTTTTTGCATTTTTTGAATTGGCACTCTTTTTCTCAAAAGTTGTGTCTGACTCTTACTTGGTTTACTTTCTTATTTTGGTGGGACATATGCTCCAGTATTATCTTCAGAAAGGTTGCATGGGAAGTGCATTTTTTGTGACTTTGCATCCTGGAAAATATTTTTGGCCTACCTGAATATTAATTGATCCCTTGATTCAGAATAGAATTCCAGGTTTAAAATCATTCCCTTTCCCTGGCCAGTTTGGCTCAGCGGTTAGAGTGTCGGCCTGCGGACCAGAGAGTCCCGGATTCAGTTCCCGCTAAGGGCATGTACCTTGGTTGCAGTTTGTTCCCGGCCCTGGTTGGAGTTTGGAGTTGTGTGGGTGGCAACCAGTCGATGTGTCTCACATCAATGTTCCCCCCCCCCCCCCTCTATCTGAAGATAAATGCAAAAATGTCCTCAGGTGAGGATTAAATAAATAAATAAATAAATAATATAATAAAACCATTCTCTTAATTTTAAAGGTATTATTTATTTATTTTTATTTATTTTTACTTTGAAGTTTCATTCTTGCTCTTTAAGAATTTCAGTTTGCTATCCTGATTTCTGAATTTTTTTGTATGCCCTATATTTTCCTCTGTGAATCTTTAACATCTTCTCTTTAGCCACCCAGTGTTTTGAAATTAAATATAATGTTCCTTGTTGAGGATCTGGTTTCATTTATTGTGCTGGGACTTATTTTACCAATCTGGAAACTCATGATCTAGAAATTTTTCTTGTAGTATTTTATTGGTGATTTCCTTTTCTTTATTTTCTCTTTTTCTGTAATGCTTATTGTTCAGATATTGGACCTCTTAGACTAGTTCTCTAAGATTCTGATTTTCCTTCTCATATGTATGTTTATGTTTTTATATATATTTTTAATATTCTGGGATATTTTCATAATCTTTCCAACCCTTCAGTTGAGTTTTTAATTTCTGCTATAATTTTTAATTTTCAAGAGCTCTTTTTTGTTTCTCTCTCCCCCCTTTATGGAATTCTACTTGTTTTATGATTACCTTACATTTTCTTATGTCTGTTTGAGATACTGATAGATTTTCTAAAGGTTTTCTTTATGCCAAGTATTGTTTTTCTCTGAGTTGTCTTTGTTTGTTTGATAAATATTTTTATTGTTGAAAGTATTACAGATATCCCATTTTCCCCCCTATTGATCCCTTCCTCCCCACCCCCACCCCCCTAAATTGTTTTTATTTGGTTTGGTTACTGTCTTTCATGTGAAAGACTTCTCTTAGACCTGGTGAGGCACTAGGCAAGTTGTTGAACCATCTGGATAAATCAGAGATCCTCTTTTTACCCTCTCCAAAGCATAGATCTCCAGACATTTTCAGGTGGGGGAAAGTCTTAACTGGTTACTTTTTAAAAAAATAATTGTTTTTAGTAGTGTTTTTTCCTAATGCCACTGCCAACACACACATTCACACTTTTACCCCAGTCTGACCGTTCCTTATCCTTTCTGGGAGTTCTGCAGTAAAATCCGATTGCATTTTGGCTTTCTGATTAAGCTTCCTCATTCTGTTCAGTCATTTACCACTTATCTCTCTGCCTGCTTTCTGGCCTCCAAAATTTTACTGCTCTTTTTCTTTCATTCACTGCATTTATGTACTTAAAAACAGAAACATCCATTTATCATTACTTTGGTGTGAACTGGGGGAGAACAAAGGTAAGCAGATGTGCTCAATCTGCTATTTTTATCCATAGGTTTATATTGTCTGTTTCTTAAGATCCTCTATTTTATGTCTTTTTCAGAAAACTCTTGTTAATGAGATGTTTGATTTCTTTAATTTTCATATTTTCCTTTCTCGATTTATTTTATACTAATATATTTTTTCTTTTAATTGATTTTTAGAGAGAGAGATAGAAACATTGATGTGAGAAACATTGATTGGCTGCCTCCTGCACGCCCCCTACTGGGGATTGAGATCGCAACCCAGGAATGTGCCTTGACCAGGAATTGAACTGGAACCTCTCAGTCCATGGGATGATGCTCAATTCATTGAGCAACACCAGTTGAACTATGCTATATTCTTGATTTGTCTCTTAATTTTCTCTTTTAATCCTTCTGTTGAGCCCTGGCCGGTTTGGCTCAGCGGTTAGAGCGTCGGCCTGCGGTCCTGAGAGACCCCGGTTCGGTTCCCGCT